AGTTTTTCAGAGACAAACAACATAATTTTTTTGCAGCGAAACTATCTATATAGTATTATTCCTCATGCTTTCGAATTTCGAAAAATTTTATTCATTACCACGATTGGCTTTATCTTTCATTTTTAGCCTGAAAAAATAATGAATTCAATTTGCAAATTTTAGAACCTATACCGGAGCCGTAGGTAGAAAATGATTTTATGAGGTTAGTTTTTCCTTTAAAAATGCCTAATATGATTTCATGAAAAATCAACCCCTTTTTATTTGAATGCAAATGCACGGCACTGTCCAAAATAATGTTTGCCTCTGAAAAACTGATCATATAGAAAATTATTCATACAAGTATAATAATTTGGCAAGAATCGTACGATTAATAGCTGACTTATAGTGGAGGGGGGGTCGATTAAAGTGAGACACGCTGTATAATATACGTTTGTTAATTTTGTTTTGTATGTATCTCAGAATGACTATTGAATTTTGATTTAGGATGTATGATAGATTGATATTCATCATACAGGACGTGGAAAGAAATTCTGAATTGCATGAGGAAACCTAATCGTGTGTGTTCAATAGATATAATTCAATGTTCGTCGTGGCATATAGCCAGGAAAGTAGTTGTTTTCTATTGATAAACCGAGAAAGAATTAATATTTTCATCACATGAAGAATGCGGATTCCCAATGTATTTCTTTACATAGGTATATCCATTTTTTCATATGTTCATAATTATATTGAGAATATTCCTTTTCAATGACTATCGAAGCTTATAATTATTAGTTTTGGACACATATTGCTATGAGTGAACTTTTATGTCATAAAACATTATTTAATTGTCGTAAGCTATTTTTAATGCGAAAGGGGTGTTTTTGTTTTAGCCAAATGATCTTCTTTAATTTTTGATTTGACACTAGTTCATCAATAAAGGTTCTCCTTCCACAGAGGGAATTAGCAGAATAAATCCCTCATTTCAACTATAGCTACCCTGAGGTTTTTTCTACCCGGTCCGCCACTGGATTTAATTCAAGCTGTGTGTGAGTGCGGGTTTATGAATTTCTCAGCGTACGTGAATTTGGATGGTTGCAAAACCAGAGCAACAAAATAGTCTGTCAGCTAATGGAAACTGGAAAGTATACCGGGTGATACAGGGTATCGGGCCACCCCTGCTTCTGCATTCGAAAACGGATTCTTCTGAAATTCGGTACAGTTATATTATAAGCAATCATTTCGGATTCGGTCACTTTTACAATCCAATATGGCGGACTTTCGGTTTTTCTGTATTTTCAAATGGAACATCCTGTATATTTTTACATATTCAAGTTCAACAGGTCAAAACGAGTGCTATCTTTATATCATGTATCATTTTTTAGGAAAAATTGAAATTGAAATTGTTTTTTTTATTTTACCTCGTTGATAAATGATATCGTGGTCAACTGCTGATGATTTTCAAATATATACATTTTGTTACTGCACCGGAATAGAAAAATGATCATTTTTTTTAGTCAATGTATGTTCTAGAGAAACATATTATGTAGGTGGTTCAGGGTTCAATTTGAAAAGAATGAGTTTTTGATCAAAACGTGATATGACTGACTTGATCCATTGATAAGTAACACAAAAAATAATTTTTCAGAAATAAAATATGTTTCTCTGTTATGTGCAAATCTTTCTGAACAGCCTTGACTACATCTCATTTATCCACGAGGTGAAATTGAATTCAATCTTCATAAAAAAGTACAATTGACATGAAGATTGCACTTGTTCTGACCTGTTGAACTTGAATATGTAATAATATACAGGATGTTCCATTTCCGGAAAAAACGGAAAACTGCCATATTAGATTGTAATGTGATCAAATACGAAATAGTTGCTTATACATAACTGAACTAAATTTCACAAAAATCCTTTTACGCATGCAGAAGTTACAGAGGCTGCCCGATACGTTGTGTCACCCGGTTTAGTACATACAGGAACGACACCATCAGGAGTAACTATAACCATGAAGGTAGGTACTACTACTTATATTACCTCTATGCGGTATGCCTAGACCATTTCCGCACTATTAGAAATTCAACCAAAGAAAATAATGGAGAATATCAAAGCCGATAGCATGGGCCATAAAATTTTGGGAGATTTCCCGAAATCGAATTAGATATTTAAAACCATCTTCACTTTCAATGAACCACTTTTGTTCATGATGTTTCAGAAAGAACAGTATATATATACCAAAGAGTAAAGAGTCGTCTGACTCTTCTGTGCCATTGTGTTTTGATGTTTATTCTTCTCCTGAAACACTTCTATTAGAGCTCTATAAAGGCTTTACTCACACCCTTAATCCAATATCTACATCAAATACGAAAATAAAGGAGACGAGAATGAACCTGCTTCCTACTGCTTTCACAATGAAATTACATCTTGAGTTTTTCGCAGACTTTTCCACTTTTGTTTACAGTGGCGGTCCATACTGGAAATTTATACATTGTATGGAAATGATAATATTATAAGACGTTCGAATAAACTTCAGAAAATTTCGAGCAAAGAATGAAAATTTTAGACGGTATGAACCTATATGATCATAGAAGAAAATGAGCCAAATTGATAAAAACACTTAGACTGATGTTACACTCACAAACATGGTACAATGTTTAAAGCCACAGGCATATACAGGGTGTTTCATAATTGGATGTCAATATTCGAGTAGGCGATTCTTGAGCCCATTCTAAGAAGAAATTTTCATATGAAAGTATGACCTAAACGTCCTAACTTTTTAGATACAGGGTGGTAAAGTTCTCAAAAATTAATAAAGCCTATTACAATGGAAAGTTATAATTCCAAAACACCAAATACGAATAGAAAGTTCATAAACTATGAATTGTATTACTGAAATTTGACCTAAAAAATAAAATCTATTTCTCTGCATTGTGATATTGTCATATTAACGATATTGCTATAAGCATGTAGTGAAAAGCTTTTTATTTTTTCAAGCGAAAACCGTGCATCAGATTGAAAAAATTGTGGTGATCAAATTTGCTTAGAAATGATTGGGAATTTCAGGAATGATTTCAATTTCGAGATTAATCAGTGGAGTACCATCAATGTCTGCCAAAATAGGTATGTAAAACTCCATACGAACGCCACTGGTGGCAACCAAAAAACATGTGGCACACTAACTGATGCCTCTTGATACATAGTACATGTATGCCAAAATTCATTAGAATATCTGAAGTATGTTTTACAGATATTAATAAAAAACTATTAATTTTTGAGAACTTTACCACCCTATATCTCAAAAGTTAGGACGTTTAAGTCCTACGTTCATATAAAACTTTCTTCTTAGAATGGGCCCAAGATACGCCTCCCCAAATATTGACATCCAATTATGAAACACCCTGTATAGTGGTACGTGTCCATATACTCTCAAAGTATAGGTATCCTTGATCTGTAAATTAAAACGTAACAATAAATCATCAGCTGCCTTCTCGCCCTTCTTCAAATCGTTTCGGCTTTCACTAGTTTCATCAAATACGAACATATTTTCAAGGGTAAGACATTTCCTATTGTAAAATTGGCTACAAAGGTGTCAAAGTCATGAAAAAAATCGGCGCAACAGTCATTGTATTCCTACTAACTATTGAATTTTTTATAATTGACTAGATTGATTGATTGATAATGAGAGTGAAAACAACTTCTTGAGCCCTTGACACTCATTTTATTGACATTAACTGCTGACAAAGGAATAGCACAAACTGTCTAACTCTTTTGAATATAAGTGAAATATTGTCAATTTTGTCATTAACCAATCTGTTTTTATATGGCAACCTCAAAACATTGATATAGATTTGCGTAATCCTTTATATTGCATTATGTCCTTCCTCCAAATTCCTACCCAACCGCTACTGTTGTCTTAGGGTTTTCCATCAATTTTCCTCTGTGAAACGTGATATGATTCCAGGAGAAGCTGATTTCCATATCCTTTCGGAGTTTTTTATCTTGATATGTATTTGAAGTTTTCTTTTTTGGAGGGTTCTCAACACGTTAGTATCATTGAGGTATTTTGAAAAGATCGAATGGATCGGGATAGAAAGTGATAATATGGACTAAAATCACCTAACATTTTGGGTGCTACAATAATTATTAATTAATGCCATATGTTGACTGCTTGAGAAAAATGTAACAAAATGAATACGCCACTGTATTATAGAAAGGCTTTGTTCTTATCCTGCCGATAAGTTGAAAAGTAACCAAGATATGGAAGGTGCAAAATAGTGAGAATCATCAACTTCGCCATGTATTACATAAAAGCGAAGGACTGTGAAAATTCTGTTCGAGCCTTGATTATATAACTAGTGTGAATATTCAAAGGTTCGAGGCGTTATTCGTTTCACAAAACAGTAAGAAGTAATGCGAAAACCGCAACACACTACCTTCAAAGATAACTGAGATATCGCGCAAAAGATATACAGGGTCGCTGAATTGTATGGAAACATGTGAATATCTCGGTAACCAGTCGTTGGATTTTTTTGAATTTATGTGCAGTGTGATTTCAAAATGTGGCGGATTTGAAAGTGTTATAGCCAATGTTGCCACTTTTTCAGTTATTCCGGAATTTTATTAACTTCCTCATTTATTGGATTTTCAGATACTCCTTGAAGAGCTGATTCCATCGATCTATCACACTTGGGGTCTAGCGGGAATGATTACATAGGTATAGGGTGTTTAAAATCTAGATTTTTCAACTTCAGGATTTTTTTGTATCGAAACTATCCATTATGGATCAAAACCGCTCTAATATTTTTTAATGAGTTGGATAGGATATAGGAACACACAATAAAGATATTATGGAATAATCAACTCAAATGACTAAATAAATGAAGGTTCAATTAGAGTGCTGCTTTATCCAAGGTTGGTAGAACTGATTATCATAATCAGTTCTACCAACCTTGGCTTTATCTACTTATGGATTGGACTAATTTTGAGAAAAATTCCAAGTGATAGGTAGACAGTTTGGTAGATTGATTTATTTACTTTAATCACAGATGCAAAGTTGATCTGAAAACTCTGACCTTGATACAAAACAATGTCAGGATTTATATCCTACACACATAAATCCCATATAAATTATAAATTTACTCAAAATCGTTAACATTTTAAACATTGGTCAATAATAAAACACATAAAAATTGATATACATGGGAGAAAATCGCCTTAATAATTTTTCAATTACAGAAAAGTTCTTCAGAAACATGGAGAACCTATTCCACTTACATAATCTTCAGAAAAGTCTAGAACCTATTTCACTTTCATAAATTATCACAGTCTACATTCTCAAAGCTTCCTGTAATTTTCTTCTGGCAATTGCTACCCTTTCTTCCTGTCTTTTTATATCATCATCTGAAATGCTCAAAGCATGAACTAAGGGTTGCTTTGGGTCCAAGAAGACTCCTGGATTCTTATCTAGCAAAGTTTTTGTACTAGTCTGCCCTGTAACAGGTTGTGCAGAAACATGTAAAGCAGTAGCCACACTCTGTATAATGGTATCTTCTCTCACATTGGGCCCCACTGCTTTCAAACCTTTTGGAAGCTCCATTCCATTGAATTCGAAGCCATCTATATCACAAGCACGAAGTCCTTCTAGCCGCTTCTCCCACATGAGCTGTTTGGGTTTTTCTTGATTACCATTCTTATAGTCAGTCTTTACCTTGCTTTCCTGTGTTTTGAAAACAGTAACAGGCTGTTTGAAAATGCTAGCTGTTTGGCGAATTGGAGGTACCAAGGATCCATCGTTTCTGACACCTCTACCATAATACAAATCCACTTTGCCCACTGTTAAACCAGTTTTACGAAGAACATCTTCCCGCTGGTTTTGATTCTGATATCTTTTAGGAAGTTGTGCACATTCGTATTTTGTTTTTTCGATTGTTATGCTTGCCATTGTTTACGTTTTTCTAACTGTGCACACTACACTGACAAGTGACACAGCTCAAACAGCAAACAGCTGTCAATTTTCCTATGAACAAACGAGAATAGCAGCGCCCACTATACACGAGAGACAAAAGACAACTGGCTGCCTGCAGGTCGATAAAGAGGCTCGCTAGAGTTCGAGCGTTGCCTGTCCATTTGCAATGCTCCCACTTCCAGTCGAGTCGGGCACATAATCGTGTATGAAAATGGTAACGCATTTGCAACATAAACATGGGTCAAAATGAAGACATATTTCAGTGATTACAAGACTATTGGAAGTACTAGTACTCTATCATACAATGTTATTTAGTACAAGGCATTTAATGATAGGTTTTGTTTAAAAAATTTAGTGTAGGTTTCAGTAGTGTGTAGGCAAAAATCTTCCGAAGAGTTTTTTGACTCAATATGACTCGTAATTGCTTTGGAAATATAGCAACTTTTAAAAAACGCACATTTTTGAAAAACTTTTTGTAACTCTGAACAGATCATGCTTCATGCTTATAGATATATTTATCGAAGTAGAGTTACTATATCATCATGTTCCTATACTCTTTACCATTATACCTACCTCTACCCAATATATGTTTTCATCCTGGACCTTTGAAAATAATATTTTAATTTTAGGAAATGTGTGATTGAATATTTACGTAGGCCAATCATAATCATAATAAGTATAATCCAGCCGGCACCGGGCCAATGAGAGGCATCTGCGCTTTACCAGACTTCATCATATTATGCTATTTTACCTACACATATCAGCCCTCTTCTGAGTAATTTCGATAGAAGATGGCTATCTATACATTTAAAACGAAATATTTTACCTATTTTGTGGTAGGGAAATACTTAATCACTAAGCACATTATATAAAATATGCAAACAATCTATGTGCAAACTATATGATTGATAATAGTTTCAAGTATACCTACCTAATTGTTGAATGTTGACGAACGAATTTTCCCCACTTTCAACACTGTTTATCTTTAGTAAAGTAGGTAGGTATATCTTTATTATCTCCTCTAGTGCTGCCTATATATAAAATTATCCTTTCGACACTGATGGAGAAATAATGAACTTCAATAATTCACCTATTATATTATTTTCCGTTCTTTTACATTCCGTTACGTATAGGCAACACAGAAACTTGTCACTAGTCTAGCTCATCGAAGAATCAGAAATTGTTGTCTTCTGTCAATGTTTAGGGAATCTTAGATTAATAATGCTAACACCCTATATGAGATAATGCGTTCAAATTTTGTATAAAGTTATATCAGCTATGCTTGAATCGAATAGGCTATGTAGTCAATGTTTCGAAAAAAATTGCCTAATAGCCTTCCGAATACTCAAAGCTGATAGTCGTTTTTGAAATGTTTACCCCATCAACGAACGAAAGTATTAGGCCTTATAAAAATCCGAATATTTCAGATTTGTCCACATTTTCAAATAGAGCTTGATGAGTACTATACAAGTTGTACTGCTTAAGTTGCAGAATTTAGAATTACTATGTCAGTTGTAAGTTGCAGTAATTCGAATTTCTGCAAGTTATATGTCGCAGTATTTTGAATAACTGCAAGTTGTTTTAGTTGCAGTAATTACCTAATGCGATTATATATATTTTTATTTTTGATGGCCCTTTTTACGCTTTCGTACTTAAACGCTTTATTCTTAAATCTACCATTTTTTTATGTGTACCGTCTACCGCCAAATTCGTTCTCATCTCATTCTTGACCTGGCAACATACTGGCGAAGACGTAGGTAGGTATCTCTAGCTATGTTGCCATTCACATGCCTTATAATTATGTAACGCGCAGTGTAACGATTGGGCAAGGCAAGAAGATCTGTGTATAAGCATACCAAATATCCTATCCATATCCTATCCGCTATAAAATGGGTATAAACGTTGTTAGTGAATACCTGTGAGATTACGATCGTCCGAATAAGTTTGCTATAAATAGCTATACTTCCTGCTGGTTGCCATCACGGACGATGAGAACCAATAAGCAGGAGCAGGATTATCAGGATCGAATTATTCTCATTTACCAGACATCTACATAGGTCGTCAATTCATGATTAATTGGGAAAACGTGCACAACAAAACTATATACATTAAACTTTACAAGGTGAACTAGATCCATTATAAATAGTCAACGAGGGCTCAAAATTAACCGATTAGTCAAATATCCTTACTTCCATATGAAAGTGTACCGTTGGGTCGTTAGAGGGCAATGGAGGATATATTATTTTTCTACGGCTATAACACAAAATTGCTCCTGTTTCACTGTATTCAATACATCAATGAGGTACTTTGTTTGTCATCAATTTTATGTCCGTATCTGATATCACAATGACTCCATTGAGTAAATTATTATTTCAGAACAATCTCATCGCCCAGGGAATGTCAAATTTCAAGCAATGACAGCTTTATTGTCTAACAGATGAGCATTACTTGAGAGGAAAACAGATGGCTACAAGGCGAAGAAATCAAAAATGTCGCCAGACGGCTCATGTTGCAAAGTCTTGGTGAAATTATGCTTGATGGTTTTACCAGGTACCTACATTTCAAATATCATTCTGGCACTACTCCTATATATCCATCAACCAGAATCATCATGTACAACAATTGATAACAATTAACGATATTAGGCTAGGCTCTGGAATTCATTGCCTGTGGAAGTACCTATTCCCAACAACACATAATCTCCAAAAGTTCAAAAAAAATTCCAATACCTACCTCCTGTCCCTATCCTCCCTAGGAACGCACGATGTTCTTTGAACATTATAGGGATTCCCTTTCGTGCGCTCCAAGCGATAAAAAAAAATAAATAAAAAAAATATGTCAATTGGGACACCATCAGAATGAAAAATGCCAGTTTTATCGTTTTGTGGCATTCTAACAATTGAGAGCATATTTTGTATGAAAAATTGTTCGAATAAGAATCATATTCTGGTATACTATAAAAATGAGATAAGAATGAGATAAAAAAATTGGGAAATTTCCTCTTATTTCTTATTTTTATCTATAGAATTACCTTTCGGAGTATATGAACGTTATTCTAGGATACCCTGTATAAAATTGTCCACATATATAAAAGGTAAGTATTTTCGTTATTTCGTCATTTTTATAAAATACCTATTGGTTTTGGTAATATAGGTGATTAGATTGTTTGTGTAATGAGCAGGTCTGCACCTACATATCCATAGAAATAAATGCATCCATCAACTTTGAGAACACTATAAATGTGTATATATAGAATACAGCTACTTGTGATCAACAATAATTCAACAAATCAACAAAATGATATCTGAGTTGGGAGGCACGTTCAAATAACTGCAAACAGAATTATTGAAAATTGAAAACATTCCTGCACGTATCTGAAGGACTTACGAGGTATTACATGAGTGCCTATGGCACGACCGCATTGGAACAGAATTTTAAACGGAATTTTAAACGAATACCTAATTACCTACCAAGGTATTTTCACAACGCGCCACCTATATTGACCGACTATTACAATATACATGCAAGAAAGATAATACCGTTAGAAAAATGTTATTCCTTGTTACTTATTAAAAACGTAACTATAGATGATGAACGATACAAAAAATGAGATCCTAATTAGATATGAACTGGGTTGGTTATATTGCTTCTCATTCTATATTATTTTGAATTCCACGTAGTTTCTGAAATGGTATTCAGAACTTGATGGTTGAGAATGGATTTCTTCTCGAATATCCGAATAATTTAACAAACGGACTGCCATTTTTATTGCCTGGATTAATTAAATTAGCAGAAAGTACATAATAAAATACGAATTGAACGATTTTGGGTATCTATATATACAGGGTGTTTCATGAGAAGACTCACATAGTCAAATGGTTAATAGGGGAAATGAAGACGAGTTGATGTATATATATGAAAACATTTTTTGACCCTCCATAACGAAGATACAGATACAGATGTGAAATTGTTAAATAACTTTGATGGCCGATATTACAGGAATGATTCATCGTAATCTGCTGAAATTAGGCAGCGACGTATCTCTACTGAAAAAATTCAAGATAACATATTATGAAAAAAAATATCCAGGTCCGGACTTGGGAAAATCTCATGTTTCATTGTTATGTCAAAGAAGTTCACTTTGTGACCACTTTTCTCGAAAATTTCCATCAGATTCAGAAAGATAAGACAAAATGCTATAAGAACTGCTCTTCAATTTACACGGCACACTTTGACCGGTTCAATAAAAAATATGAAACAAAATCGTTCGAATGAATTTTAAATTTCGACCTGGCTGATAACTGTCAACTTCCAACTGGAATCATGTGAATTGATTTTTCCTACATTTTTGTTGAATAGTAATCGACAGGAGAATAGATGAGGAGTAAAAACACGATATTTTTTATCGAAATTCCAGATAGATATTATTATTCCTTACTTTGTTTTATGGGTTTCAATTGAAGTAATGATAAGATATCTAGTAGGCCCTGTTTTCCATTTGTGTGACGAGACGTGACGTTTGTTGATAATCCGAACTGATAGGTAGGTACTAGGCTAGTACTAGGTAGGTACCAACTCATGAAATTACGACATGATGATTCATGTGTCCATATTATGGTGATTTATCAAATTAGTTATACCATCAAGCATAAACTCAGCTCCATTTTTTGTTTTTGATACATTTCTGCAAGTGATAAAAGGATGCATTTGCTATTTATTCAAAATTTCTAATGTTCATCCTCGTGAAGGTTTTACTGCAACGTGTTCTTGGGTCTGGAAATATTCTATGATATCAAACAGCACAGCATTTGGATTTTCGTCTTGTTCAGCATTTGAAATATTGAGTGGCACCTAGGTGCAAGAATCTTTCGATTACCAGTGTTTACCTATCAAAAAACGCCACGTTACATAAAATAAAAACAGGGCCTACTTTATAACAAATTTATAATATAGAGTCGCAAGTTATCATATCCATCTAGAATTTCGGTCAAAAACTAACATATGTCAAGTCATAAAAAAATCAGAATACCTCTACTATCAATTTCTATCCAATAAAAATGTACAAAAAATCAATTTACACGAATCCAGTTCGAAGATAAAAGTTATCAGCCAGGTCAAAATTGAAAATTCATTCGAGCGTTTTTGTTC